ACCACATCCATCATCTTGGCTCTCCATGTTTCGGACCCCCATGGGCTCCAGGTTTTCCGAGTCAATCTCCTTGTGATTGAAATCACCCATAACTAGTAACTTTGCTCCCCCCATGTGTGCTCTCCTGGCCACCTCGGCTAGTGTGTTGATCATTGCTCTGTTGCTCTCATCGTATTCTTCTCTTGGCCTCCTGCAGTTCTGTGGTGGGTTGTACATTACTGCAATTATCACCTTATGTCCCTCAGACTGGATTGTTCCTACTAAGTAGTCCCTTTCGCCCATGCCATCCATTCCTTCCATTTTCTCAAAACCCCACTGGTTTTTAATGAGCAGTGCAACTCCTCCCCCTCTCCTCCCTCTGTCTTTCCTGAAGATTTGATCTCCGGATGGAAAGATTGAATCTGTTATTATTCTGGTGAGTTTTGTTTCTGTGAGTGGATCACTACGACAAGGTCCTAAATGCACTAGAAGACAAAAAGAATGCAGATGTAATATATACAGACTTTGCAAAAGCCTTCGACAAGTGTGACCATGGCGTAATAGCGCACAAAATGCGCGCTAAAGGAATAACAGGAAAAGTCGGTCGATGGATCTATAATTTCCTCACTAACAGAACACAGAGAGTAGTCGTCAACAGAGTAAAGTCCGAGGCAGCTACGGTGAAAAGCTCTGTTCCACAAGGCACAGTACTAGCTCCCATCTTGTTCCTCATCCTCATATCCGACATAGATAAGGATGTCAGCCACAGCACCATGTCTTCCTTTGCAGATGACACCCGAATCTGCATGACAGTGTCTTCCATTGCAGACACTGCAAGGCTCCAGGCGGACATCAACCAAATCTTTCAGTGGGCTGCAGAAAACAATATGAAGTTCAACGATGAGAAATTTCAATTACTCAGATATGGTAAACATGAGGAAATTAAATCTTCATCAGAGTACAAAACAAATTCTGGCCACAAAATAGAGCGAAACACCAACGTCAAAGACCTGGGAGTGATTATGTCGGAGGATCTCACCTTCAAGGACCATAACATTGTATCAATCGCATCTGCTAGAAAAATGACAGGATGGATAATGAGAACCTTCAAAACTAGGGAGGCCAAGCCCATGATGACACTCTTCAGTCACTTGTTCTATCTAGGCTGGAATATTGCTGCACTCTAACAGCACCTTTCAAGGCAGGTAAAAATTGCCGACCTAGAAAATGTACAGAGAACTTTCACGGCGCGCATAACGGAGATAAAACACCTCAATTACTGGAGCGCTTGAGGTTTCTAAACCTGTATTCCTGGAACGCAGGAGGGAGAGATACATGATTATATACACCTGGAAAATCCTAGAGGGACTAGTACCGAACTTGCACACGAAAATCACTCACTACGAAAGCAAAAGACTTGGCAGACGATGCACCATCCCCCCAATGAAAAGCAGGGGTGTCACTAGCACGTTAAGAGACCATACAATAAGTGTCAGGGGCCCGAGACTGTTCAACTGCCTCCCAGCACACATAAGGGGGATTACCAACAGACCCCTGGCAGTCTTCAAGCTGGCACTGGACAAGCACCTAAAGTCAGTTCCTGATCAGCCGGGCTGTGGCTCGTACGTTGGTTTGCGTGCAGCCAGCAGCAACAGCCTGGTTGATCAGGCGCTGATCCACCAGGAGGCCTGGTCACAGACCGGGCCGCGGGGGCATTGACCCCCGAAACTCTCTCCAGGTAAACTCCAGGTAATTATGTCTGGGGATGTCTCTTTGATTCTTTCGTGCCATTCCTCATACTTGTTTGTTATTCCATCTGCATTTGTATACCACACCTTCAACTTCTTTTCTAAGACTGTGGTCTGGGAAGTATATTGGGGTTGGGGAAGTGGGAGACCTGGTAAGGAACTATGGGTTGTTGCTGTGGGGGTGAAGTTTGTAATGTAGTGGGTGGGGGCATTGGATGTGGCATGGGTGTTTTGATTTAGAGTGTTTGGTTGCACTGGGGTTGACCTGGTTGGGAGGCTTCTATAGAAAGTTGTGAGGGAGGCTGTATTTGATTTGATCTTCTTCCTGGGTCTGGGATCTCCTGTCTGTCTTCTCCATCCCCTCTCTTTCCTCCTTTCGCCTTTGTACCATCTCTCTCAGTTTCTTCCTTTCTTCTTGTGTTCTGTGTGTGTGTGTGTGTGTGTGTGTGTACTCACCTATTTGTACTCACCTATTTGTGGTTGCAGGGGTCGAGTCCTAGCTCCTGCCCCCGCCTCTTCACCGGTTGCTACTAGGCCCTCTCTCTCCCCGCTCCATGAGCTTTATCAAACCTCGTCTTAAAACTGTGTATGGTTCCTGCCTCCACTACGTCATTTTCTAGGCTATTCCACTGCCTTACAACTCTATGACTGAAGAAATACTTCCTACTATCTCTCTGACTCATTTGTGTCTTCAACTTCCAATTGTGGCCTCTTGTTTCTGTGTCCCCTCCCTGGAACATCCTGTCTTTGTCCACCTTGTCTATTCCACGCAGTAATTTTATATGTCGTTATCATGTCTCCCCTGACCCTCCTGTCCTCCAGTGTGGTCAGGCCCGATTTCCCTTAATCTTTCCTCATAGGACATTCCCCTTAGCTCTGGAACTAACCTTGTCGCAAACCTTTGTACTTTCTCTAGTTTCTTGACGTGCTTTATCAAGTGCGGGTTCCAAACAGGTGCTGCATACTCCAGTATGGGCCTGACAGACACGGTGTACAGTGTCTTGAATGATTCCTTATTAAGGTATCGGAATGCTGTTCTCAGGTTTGCCAGGCGCCCATATGCTGCAGCAGTTATCTGATTGATGTGTGCTTCCGGAGACATGCTCGGTGTTATACTCACCCCAAGATCTTTCTCCTTGAGTGAGGTTTGCAGTCTTTGGCCACCTAGCCTATACTCTGTCTGTGGTCTTCTGTGCCCCTCCCCCATCTTCATGACTTTGCATTTGGCAGGATTAAATTCGAGAAGCCATTTGCTGGACCAGGTGTCCAGTCTGTCCAGGTCTCTTTGAAGTCCTGCCTGGTCCTCATCAGATTTAATTCTCCTCATTAACTTCACATCATCTGCAAACAGGGACACTTCTGAGTCTAACCCTTCCGTCATGTCGTTCACATATACCAAAAATAGCACTGGTCCTAGGACCGACCCCCTGTGGGACCCCGCTCGTCACAGGTGCCCACTGTGATACATCATTACGTACCATGACTCGTTGTTGCCTCCCTGTCAGGTATTCTCTGATCCATTGCAGTGCCCTTCCTTTGTTTATGCGCCTGGTGCTCTAGCTCTGCACTAATCTCTTGTGAGGAACTGTGTCAAAGGCCTTCTTGCAGTCCAAGAAGATGCAATCAACCCACCCCTCTCTCTCTTGTCTTACTTCTGTTATTTTATCATAAAACTCCAGAAGGTTTGTGACACAGGATTTGCCTTCCGTGAATCCGTGCTGGTTGGCATTTATACTCCTGTTCCGTTCCAGGTGCTCCACCACTCTCCTCCTGATAATCTTCTCCATAATTTTGCATACTATACACGTCAATGACACAGGTCTATAGTTTAGTGCCTCTTTTCTGTCTCCTTTTTTAAAAATGGGAACTACATTTGCCGTCTTCCATACCTCAGGTAGTTGCCCAGTTTCCAGGGATGTGTTGAAGATTGTGGTAAGTGGCACGCACAATATATCTGCTCCCTCTCTAAGGACCCACGGGGAGATGTTGTCTGGTCCCATTGCCTTTGAGGTATCGATGTCCCTTAGCAGTTTCTTCACCTCCTCCTCATCTGTATGTATGTCGTCCAACACTTGTTGGTGTATTCCTTGCTGGTGTCCCCGTCTGGTCTGTCCCCCCAGAGTCCTGTGTGTGTGTGTGTGTGTGTGTGTGTGTGTGTGTGTGTGTGTGTGTGTGTGTGTGTGTGTGTGTGTGGTGTGTGTGTGTGTGTGTGTGTGTGTGTGTTTATGTGTGTGTGTGTGTATGAATTTGTATGTGTGTGTGTTTGTGTGTGTGAGAGAGAGAGACTCAGCAATCAACATTTGCACCAATAACTCACTACAGTTGTGACCGGGTGTGGAAGTGTGAATTGCTCATTACTCTAAAATTTGTTCATAATTGCAGCCATGTATAAACGTAAGTAACCATTCTTACAGTATTCATTACCTTTGTAACTTGTGAGTTCATTACCTTTGTAACTTGTGAGTTCATTACCTTGTACCTAGTTCAGCCATCACAACTTTGGGAGCCCAGTCCCTGGACCGATTGTGTACCTCTGTAATCTGTAAATACCTTTGTAACTTGTCATGATTGTGACTAGACCTACCTGGAGTTCATTACCTTTGTAAATTGTGAGTTCATTACCTTTGTAAATTGTGAATTCATTACCTCTGTAACGTGCTCAGCTATCAAAACTTTGAGGCCCAGTCCCTGGACCCATTATGTACCTCTGTAATCTTTTGACTACCGCCCACAGGATGGGTATGGGGTGCATAATAAACATATTAAACTTAAACTAACTATGGTGCATCCCGAGGGTCAGGTGTAATACCTGGAGAATTACCTAATTATAATAAGATATTAAAGGACCCCAGTGGAAATTAGTCACTGACTTTTCTTGGGGGGTTATCCCAGATAATTGTGCCTATATGCACCTGTGCCTAAATAAACTTAATTAAGGTAACGTCTAACTTTTCATCCGTGCTGGAATCGAGCCCCGGACCCTTAATGTAGGAACTGTGGGAACTATCAACCAAACTACGAGCACCGCTTTTTAATTATTGTATGCTTTGTAATGCAGTGATTAGAAATAATTTTTTTTAATGTAACTGCACACCATCAAAAAAATCTAAAAAACAAAACAAAACTGGTGATACATTTCTTTACATTTCTTTACATTTCTCTCCAGGTAAACAGAATTTGTTAGAAAATTCCCTAGCTCATTTAACTAGGGAAATTTAAAATGAACAGTATATGGCATGATCAATGGTGGATTCAGCTTTGAATCATAAATTTTAGAATGTATTTTTGGACAGTGACATTAAGCTTCACATGTTTATAAGTAGAAGTTACATAAATAATGTAGAGAAAGGTATTATTGGTGGACCGGTGGCGGGGAAATTCCCCGGTACTTGAGAGACGGGGACTGAGGAGCTACATACAATGTTCTCTGGTCAGTTATCTTGCTTATTAAACTCATATATATGTTATATTCTTGCGCTCTGTTCACATTATTATTATAGAAGCATTTTTACTTGTAACGTAAAGCTACACAAATCTTGTAAAGTTGAGATTCTTTGTGGTCATGAAGGCCAGGATGTAAATATAACTTATTTCTACCTTATTACTAGTATATCTCCTTTATAGTGTAATAATAAGATATCTCCTTTATAGTGTAAGGTATTAAAAGGACCCCATGTATGACCCTTGTCGGTTTAGCGCTTTCTTTGATGATAATAATAATAATAATAATAATAATAATAATAATAATAATAATAATAATAATAATAATAATAATAATAATAATAATAATAAAAGGACCCCAGTGGAAATAGGTCACTGAATTTTTTGGGTTATCCTTTATTCTCTACACATATACTACTATGTATGATATTCTGTATAACTGTATTTTCTTGTACCAGAATAAACTTAACTAACATCCGAAGCTGGATCATGCATAAAAAGTTATTAACAACCAGTGCTGTATGATCCCTGTGGGTTTAGCGCTTAGTTATGATTAATAATACAAACAACCGGTGTCTAATGTTTTGCTGTAAATTTTGACAAGGTTGGGAACCAAAATTTTGGTATCAGGTGAAATGGAGACAAGTTCCTGGGTTATCCTGGGTAATATATACATATGTTGCTGTGTATGAAAATTTATGTCACTGTATTTATGTGTACCCGTAACGGATCAGCCGGGCTGTGGCTCGTACGTTGGTTTGCGTGCAGCCAGCAGCAACAGCCTGGTTGATCAGGCTCTGATCCACCAGGAGGCCTGGTCACAGACCGGGCCGCGAGGGCGTTGACCCCCGGAACTCTCTCCAGGTAAACTCCAGGTTTAGTCAGACTTAGAAAACAGAAACCATACTCATTTGCCATAAAAACCTAGACTGAAAAGGATAAAAACTTTTAAATGTCCAGTGTAATGGGGATCCGATTACTTCAGTATCTTAGGTGAAATATCTGGGAATTCCCTTTGATCCGATCATGTCAGGAGAATTAATAGGGAACAATGTTGTTAAAAAAAAAATGAATGCCAGGCTAGAGTTCCTCAAGAAGACAGACAATGTCTACCTATTGGAACCGAGTCGAAGAGAGCATGTAGGTCAGGATGAATTATAATATCTGGATATGTCTTTGTAATACTCACTTGTGCTTTATAGTAACCTGTTTACATTAATGTTTTATCACTGATTTCATCATTGCTTAGTTAATCTTAAGTTAATTTTAAGCCAGCCCGTAATGCTATGCATAGTATAAGTGGCTTTGGCATACTGCTCTTACCTGTATTTGTTGTACCTCTGTATGTGTGCTCAAATTTTTAAATAAATAAATAAATAAATAAATGTTGATGACAGAGTAAAGTTAAATCACTTTTATAAATTTGCTCACAAGTGTCCAGAATTTTTGGGTTATCGTAGGTTCTCTACACATATGCTGCTATGTATGATAATCTTTGTAATTGTATTTGTGTATACCTGAATAATCTTACTTATATATCTTGCTGCCAAGTTTGTCTAGGTTGGGAACCACTTGGTTTAGTCGGCCTGAAGTGCCTCGGCATGTCAGTCGCTTTCTTTGCTCTTGCAAACCGATATTGAAGCTACGCATTGTAAACTATGCATGGAAAAAGACTCCCTATAACACATCAATCACACTAAATTTTGCAAAGAAATAAAAATTGATTGACCGAAAACAAGAATGGTATGTTGGTGTCCTGTGGCTTGGTAGGCAAAACTCGCTTCACGCACTGTTTCAATCCCATGGTGGAAACATTGGGTAAGTTTCACTACACCTGCCGTCCCTGTTCACCTAGCAAGTAAGTAGGTACCTGAATGTTAGCCGACTGGTGTGGGTTGCATCCTGGGGCCAAGATTGAAGGACCCCAATGGAAATAAGATAGACAGTCCTCGATGATGCACTGACTTTCTCAAGTTATCCTTGGTGGCTAACCCTCTGGGGTTAGCCACAATTTTGTAGTACCTACAGTAGGTGATCAGGCTTCAGATACCTTTTATTGTACAGGAATAAGCTGTACGATCCATGTGGATTTAGCACTCGGTTATGATTGTGATAATAGTAATGTACAGCAATAAAGAAGCGGAATGGATTGCCTGCACTTGTCAAAGCCTGTCCTAGCATGAGCTAGTTTAGGAAGAAAGCTAAAAGGTACCTAATGAATGAAGCTACAGAAAGGGAGGAGAGTGATTTCTTGTATAGCTAACACTCATATTTAATGTAAATGACTCATTTTACCTTATTCCTATTGTATCTCCTTGTATCGCAACTGATTTTCACACAGTTGAGTTACTTAGCTATTTTAACTTTTAAGGTTTAAATATTAATTTATTACAAGGACCACAGTGGAAATAAGTCACTCTGACTTTTTTGGTTTATCCTAGGTAATTACAGTATGTTTGATAATTGTACTTATGTGTACCTTTGCTTAAAGAAATTTACTTGTTTATTTATTTATTTATTTTATGTCTTTGCAAACAGTACATTGAGATTTTGTATTTACAATAATGGGTTGCAATGCAAAGAGAGCCTCTATTATGCCTAGGCATTATGGGCCAACTTAACATTATTGGCTTACAGACTACGTACTTAACACTAAGGATTATATCATAGTTGTACAGTAGGATAGTAATTATTTCATAGTTGTACAGTAGATTATTAATTATAAGTGAATCAAAATTTGTATAAGACAAAAGATATATTCGTATATTCAAAAATGCATTTTGTGAAATCAGTGATTCAATTATATTCCTGTCAAAGGTTCGAAGTGATTGTTGAAGTTATGATGTGGGAGTACATAAATAAGTGTGTGTGTACTGAGTATTTAGCGTTTAGTCTAGGGTGATTAAGTGGCTTTTGAGAAGAGTTTTAAATTGATTTTCAGACTGGGTTACTTTAATATCTTCTGGTAATGAATTCCATATTTTGGGGCCCTTTATGTGCATAGAGTTTTTACACAGTGTGATAAGGACACGAGGTATATCAAAAAGATCTGTGTCTTGTGTTGTGGTCATGTGTCCTGCTTAGGTTGGTGAGGAGAAGTTTGTGTGGAGGGTTTATATTTGTGTGTATTGTTCTGTGTATGTAGTAGGCACATGAATAAGTATGGATGTTCTTAATGGTGAGCAGATTCAGACTTTTGAAAATTGGTGGAGTATGCTGGCAGGAGTGGGAATTTGTTATCATTCTTACTGCTGCCTTTTGCTGGGTTATTAGGGGTTTTAGGTGATTGGATGTTGTTGATCCCCATGCACAAATTCCACATGTAAGATAGTATATGAGTGAATGGTACAGTGCCAGGAGAGCTGATTGTGGAACGTAGTACCTTATCTTTGATAGTATGCCTACAGTCTTGGAGATTTTCTTGGTGATTTGTTATGTGTGTGTCCGGAACTTAAGGCTTCTGTCAAGGTGGATACCTAGGAATTTTCCCTCTGTGAGTCTTGTGACTGATGATCCATTTAGCATTATGTTAATTGGATCATTTGCAGCTTTGTTTCCAAACTGAATGAAATAGGTTTTATTAGTATTAAGGGTAAGTTTATTAGTCATCATCCAGGCAGGTATTTTCTGCAATTCCACATTGACTGTATTTGCTAGTATGACTGTGTTTGGGTGGGAAAAGACATATGTAGTGTCATCTGCAAATAATATGGGTTTGAGTAGCTGTAATGCATTCGGTAGATTATTGATGTAGATGAGAAAGAGGAGTGGTCCAAGGACACTTCCTTGTGGGACTTCTACTGTGATTGGTTGGGTGGAAGAGTTTGTATCATTTGCATACACATATTGAGTTCTGTTACTAAGGTATGATTTTAGGTAGTTGAGGGAGTGGCCTCTGATACCATAGTGCATTAATTTGGAATACAGCAGTTCATGGTCGACTGTATCGAAAGCTTTACATAAATCAATGAAAATGCCTAGCGGGACTTCTTTCTTTTCGAGTGTGGTATATATTAGTTCTAGCATGTGTATGATAGCATCATTTGTGCTTTTATTATTCCTGAATCCAAACTGACAAGGGTTTAATATGTTGTGTGAGACGAGGTAGGAATAGATCCGTCTATGAATTAATTTTTCAAAGATTTTGCTTGCTTATCCTGAGTAATTTACATCTTACTATGTAAGACCGCTGTCTTCATCCAAAAATTGTGTAAACTTGTACCAAAATAAACTCAATAAGTAGATTAAGTAAGCTTGTTCAGGTATATTGTACACATTTACATGATTACAGTTATCTTGTTTCTTGTACTGTGTCCATGTGTTCTATTACAGCTCTTCGGATACAATCTAAGCTCTGGGCCACTGTTAGTATTGAAAATCTTGTTGTGAAGGTTAAGTAAATTTGAGCTTAAATTTTAAGAAGGTTGGTGTGTGTTGTGTTGAGCCTAAATTAGTAATAATTCTGAGGGCTGATTTTTATTGAGTAATAGCAGGTGATTAGCTGATGTTGATCCTTATGCACTGATACCATAGGTGAGGTATAGATAAATTAATAAAGAGTACGAGGTGAGCAGAGTAGTTTGTAAACATAATAACATATTTTTTCAAAGAATACTCACTGTTTTAGAAATTTTATTACAATGTTCTGGATGCATATGTTGAATTTTAGATTGCTATCCAGGTGTATTCCCTTTTTTGCCTGTTCCAAGGAATATAGTTGAAGGGACTTTCAAACATTCTCAGTAGTTTATATGTTTGTTTGAATGTATACAGGCAGTGATAGTTCTTTACATATTTTCCAGCTCGGCAATCTCACGTGCCTTAAAATGGGCCTTTAGTATACAGCAGCATTTCAGCCTGAAGATAACAAATGACTTAGTTAATGAGCATTATCACTGGCTTAGCTTTTATTTTTGGTAGCAATAGCAACATTTTAAGTGAAAGGACACAAGTGCAACTAATGTGACATTTTATTGTGGCAACGTTTCGCTCTCCAGGAGCTTTATCAAGCCGTTACAAACAATACATGGACACAGAGGGTATATATAGGTTAGAGTGAGGTGTAATACTAGTGGTGGTGGTAGTAGTAGTAGTAGTAGTAGAAATATTAGTTGTAATAGTAATACAATATAGTGGAGCAGTCAACTTGCACATGACCTTTTACTCGTATGCATATTGATTGCTCCACCATATTGCATTACTAGTACTACTACTAGTATCACACCTCACTCTAAGCCTATATATACCCTCTGTGATCGTGTATTGTTTGTAACGGCTTGATAAAGCGCCTGAAGAGTGAAACGTTGCGACAGTAAAATGTCACATTAGTTGCATTTGTGTCCTTTTACTTAACATATTGTCAGCAATTCTACCAACATTAATACAATAGCAATATTGTTGTGATCATTGAATCGCCAGAGAAAAATTTACCACTCACAGCATATTTGAGGGTGCTATGCTTAATATGTAGATCTACATGAGGAACACTTTAATCAGTAACATAGCTCTATGTAGGAGTGAAGGGGGGTCAAAGATATAAATAGAATAAAATTAATTCAGTGAATATGATAACAAATGTATGTAGTACATGTATATAAAAAATAATTGGGTTAAAGTTCGGTCATATAAAATAAATTCTCAATACAGTCTTTTTTACAATATTAGGTAACATTCAAAATTATTACTCAGATTCTCGATGCAATGACTCTTCCAGGTAACAAAATTTAGTTCAATATATTGTAGTATCAATGCTTTTATGGAGGAACCAAAGCAAAACAGTAAAGGCTAATTACACAGAGAGAAGTTGTAAATGATTTGACTGCAGGCTCTTTTATTACACATCCTTTGTTCTTTAATTGGCATAGAACTTTTATAGATGTTCAGTCAAGCATGAGGGATAAATGTAAAGCAAGTGAGAGGCTCTTGATCCAAGGAATTGGACCTCTCCTCCAGCCTTGGATTGAACTTGATTGCCTCCTATTTTCCCAGGTGCTGTATGGAGTCTATGGGTTTAGCACTTCATGTTAACCCTTAAACTGTCCAAATGTAGATCTACGTTGACGTGCATTGCACTCTGACCTTTATTTTCTCCATTTGACAGCATGTAGAATTGGACATAGATCTATGTTCAAAGCACTACACACATGAACGTAGATCTACGTTTGGACAGTTTAAGGGTTAAATATAATAATAATTCATCAGTAATAATAATAATAAATCTTTATTTCTACTAGTACATGTACAGGGTATACAGGCCTAGCTGACAGCAATGACTTACTACTAGATAGAAAACCCCTTGAATTGGGAATTGAACCCAGACTCTCAGCGTGTGAAATGAGAGATTTTGCCACCAAGCCGCAAGCCACTAAATTCTCTAAAACTGATAGATCCTAGTCATAATACAATTTGAATAGAAAGAGGTTGGTAAATATTATTTCCAAATTAGTGTGTTGTTAAAAATGAAACAGAGGTTAACGTAAGTTATGTGTACACAGTTTGGCATAGAAGTGTGCCTCAGGTGGCACGAGCTGTGAATGGAGCTGTTGTAGTTTCTGCCCGACATCAGAGTGCTGCTGCTTCCTCCAGCCCTGCTCCTGTGAAGTATAAGCCTTATTCACCTTTCCAGAACACTTCCAATGTTGCAGAATATGCAGTGGCTAGACTTGATGACTTAATTAACTGGGGACGCAAGGTTAGTAACTTTCAGAAGTAGAACTATGCTTATATTGTCTTATCAACTTAAATTATTTTAACATATGCAAAGTGTCTTGGCATACGTTGACCATTTTTTGAAGGCTTGCCTAGCCTTGCCTAGTAATTACCTGTTTGTAATTTCAGTACAGGTTGGCCATTGCTAATCTGGCATCGTTGGGACCTGTAGTGTGCTGGATTAGTGGGTTTGCAGGATTACAGAGTGGTTAGGTTAGAATACACTTAATAAAGTTAACCAAGCTGAGCTGTTTCATATACTATTTTGGCCTTTCTTTGATTAGTTTATCCTGCAGCATGTAAATGTTCATTATTTCTTGTTCATTTATAAAACTGCATTGCTCAAGACCTTTTAGCAGTTCATCTGTCAACTGACAGGTGAACTGTACAATTTCTGAGTCAGTATAATGATGAAATTTGAGTCAGTATAATGATGAAATTTGAGCCAGTATAATGATGAAATTTGAAATTATGCTAGCCAAAATTAGTACCGGATTACTGATGGAACCGGATAACTGATTTCCGAATTAGTGATGGCCAACCTGTACCTATTTAAAATTTAGCTACAGAAGCAGAGTTAAACATGTGTCCCCAGACCCCACAACCAAAGGGCCTTGGCCCCATTTACTCTTCTGGAAATCTTTGGATATTTGCTGCTACTTGGGAATTTTCAGAAATGACATACAGTGAGGCTTAACATGCATGTAAATCTCTTCTGGTGATGGACATGTGAGGTGGTGATGAACAGTTAACCAAGCTTTGGTCTTCAGTTTTTGATAGTATTATTATTTTGCTTCATGATTTATGATGCAGGTTCACTGAGAGTACTAACTTATATAGGGAAGGGCCCTGCTTTATGGCATTTCACCTTACGACATTCCGCTAATACGGACATTTCAGGTCATGACCAAAACTCGCTATACGGCTTCCCCCACCTGACTTTCTAATATGGTCACCGTACCTCACCCAGTTTGTTTACATTCTCCGTGAGCTCCGTGTCTCTCCATTATGTCTGGAAACTTTACAAAATTTCAAGTCAAGTTATTTTATGTATTGTATATACAGTGGACCCTCAGCACATGCATCGGATAACGCCAAAATCGGATAATGCCTCGCTTTGGCATAAAAAAATTGGCTTGGATAACACCTAAAAACTTGGTTAGAAGCTTTCGTCCCAAACGTGTCCGCACAGCTCCCTAGGCGAGCCTGGCCACTCAGTCCGTGTACCAGCCAGTGTGCCATTGTTTACAAAGCCAGTGAGGACGATTCCGGACGTATGTGCGATATATTTTGTTTTATTACATTGTTTTTGGTGCTTGTAACTGCTAAATAAGCCACCATGGGCCCCAAGAAAGCTTCTAGTGCTAGCCCTATGGTAAAGAATGTGAGAAACACACATAATTTAAGAAAAAGTTTGTAGAAAAATACGAAAGTGATGGTGGTAGAGGGTGGTAGTGATGGTGGTAGAGGGTGGTAGCAATGGTGGTAAGAGGGTGGTAGCAATTGTGATGGTGGTAGTGATGGTGGTAGAGGGTGGTGGTAGAAGGTGGTGGTAGAGGGTGGTAGTGGTTGTGATGGTGGTATGGTATGATAAGGCATGGTGAGGCTGCCAGTTCTGACAAAAAAGCAGCTGAAAAATATGTGCAGGACTTTAAGGGGTATATAGAGGCTGAAAAATTAAAACCCCAACAAGTGTTCATTTGTGATGAAACAGGCCTGTTTAGGAATAAAATGCCAAACAGGACCTACATTACTCAGGAGGAAAAGGCACTCCCAGGACACAAGCCAGAAAAGGACTTGTTACCTGAAGTCTTAATGGAAGGAGATTCCCCTTCCAAACAATAGAACGCCTTCATCCTCTGCCCTCCTCCTGTCTAATCACTTATCAACAAGTCCACAATAAAGGTAAGTATGATGTTATTATTGTTTTATTCTTCATGTATCATTGTGTAGGGAAATGTATATTTCATGTAAAAAAATTATTTTGTTTAATACTTTTGGGTGTCTGGAACGAATTAATTGGATTTCCAATATTTCTTATGTGGAAAATTAATTCGGTTAAAGCCTAGCTCTGGAATGGATTAAAGGTGTTAACTGAGGGTCCACTGTACTCTGATAATTAAGTGTACCTGTACCTAAATAAACTTACACACTGTGCTGGCATACAGGTATACATTAAAATCACTATGTCTTGAGGATGCCACATTAGTAATGATAGTAATAATAGTATGCAATAATAATCACATTGAGGTGCATTAAACTTTTTTTTTTTTCAACAAATCAACCGTCTCCCACCAAGGCAGGGTGACCCAAAAAGAGAGAAAAAAAAAATCCCCCAGAAGAAAATACTTTCATCATCATTCAACACTTTCACCTCACTCATACATAATCACTGTTTTTGCAGAGGCACCCAGATAAAACAGTTTAGAAGCATATACAGTGGAACCCCGAGTTTTGGCCGCCCTGAGTATCGGCCACTAAGAGTTTTGACCACTTTGTCTTGAGTTTTGGCCAGTGCCCCATGTTTCGGCCGGCGTACCAGACCTGTCCGCCTGCCCGCGGAGGCATCATGAGCCAGTCTAGCTTTGTTTATCCTTGAGTGAACATTACCCTGCATGCTCATCCAAACATTTCACAATAAATTCATTGTGTTTAGTGCTTGTTTATTGATTGTGACTGTGAAATAAGCCACTTTGGGCCCAAAGAAACTTCATAGTGGCAGCCCTTTGGTAAAGAAAGTGAGAAACACAATAGAATTGAAGAAAGAAATTGTAGCAAAGTACCAAAGTGGAGGAGGAAGAGAGGGGAGAATGTGCCTTCTTCAGTGATTCGGTGATTCTGTGATACGTACGATACTAAAGCAACATGAGTCGATAAAGGCTATTGTACCAGCCAGCGATAAAGTGTAGCATTAACAGTGTAGCAAGTAAGTTAAGCGATTAATTGACAGAAAAAGGACAGCACGAAACTGACTCCTCCAATGTTGTTGGAGTTATATAGGGCTACCTCCTCCTCCCATCTCCTCCTCCTCCTGTCTCCTCCTCCTCCTCCCATCTCCTCCTCCTCCTGTCTCCTCCTCCTCCCATCTCCTCCTCCTCCTCCCATCTCTCCATCCTCCTCCCCCATCTCCTCCTCCTCCTCCCATCTCCTCCTCCTCCTCCTCCCATCTCCTCCTCCTCCTCCCATCTCCTCTTCCTCCTCCCATCTCCTCATTCCCATCTCCCCTCTCCATCTCCCTCCTCCCATCTCCTCCTCCTCCATCTCCTCTTCCTCCCACCTCTCTTCCTCCAACCTCCTCCTACCTCCTCCTCCCTCCTCCTCCTACCTCCCCTCCTACCTCCTCCTCCTACCTCCTCCTCCCTCCTCCTCCTCCCTCCTCCTCCTCCCTCCTCCTCTTTCCTCCTCCTCCTACCTCTCCTCCTACCTCCTCCTCCTACCTCCTCCTCCTACCTCCTCCTCCTACCTCCTCCTCCTCCTCCTCCTCCTCCTCCTCCTCCTCCTCCCTCCTCTCCTCCTCCTCCACCTCCTCCTCCACCCTCCTCCTCCTCCACCCTCCTCCTCCTCCACCCTCCTCCTCCTCCACCCTCCTCCTCCTCCACCCTCCTCCTCCTCCACCCTCCTCCTCCACTCTCCTCCTCCTCCACCCTCCTCTTCCTCCACCCTCCTCCTCCTCCTCATCCCACCTCCTCATCCCACCTCCTCATCCCACCTCCTCCTCTTCCTACCTCTTCTCCCTCCTACCTCCTCCTCCTCTACCCTCTTCCTCCTCCACCCTCTTCCTCCTCCACCCTCTTCCTCCTACCTCCTCCTCCACCTCCTCCTCCCTCCTCCCACCTCTTCCTCCTCCTCATCCCACCTCTTCCTCCTCCTCCTCCCACCTCCTCCTCCTCCTCCTACCTACCTCCTCCCCCTCCTCCTACCTCCTCCTCCTACCTCCTCTTCCTCTACCTCTTCTTCCTCCTACCTCCTCTTCCTCCTACCTCCTCTTCCTCCTACCTTCTCTTCCTCCTACCTCCTCCTCCTTCTACCTCCTCCTACCTCCTCCTCCTCCTCCCTCCTCCTCCTCCCCCTCCTCCTCCTCCCCCTCCTCCTCCTCCCCCTCCTCCTCCTCCCCCTCCTCCTCCCACCTCCTCCCCACCTCCTCCTCCCACCTCCTCCTCTCACCTCCTACCTCCTCCTCCTCCTCCTACCTCCTCCTCCTCCTACCTCCTCCTCCTATCTCTTCCTCCTATCTCCTACCTCCTCCTACCTCCTCCTCCCTCCTCCTACCTCCTCCTCCTCCTTCCTCCTCCTACCTCCTCCTACCTCCTCCTACCACCTCCTACCTCCTCTTCCTCCCAACTCCTGCCTCCTCTTCCTTCTCTCTTATTATTATTATTATTATTATTTCTATTATTAATGATAAAAGAGGTTTTGTGTGTGTGAGGGACTTGGACTTCCAGCAAACATACGTGAGCGTGTTAGGAGTGAATGGATACAAATGGTTTTTAGGACTTGATGTACTGTTGGAGTGTGAACAAAGTAACATTTATGAAAGGATTCTGGGAAACTGCCAGGCCAGACCTGAGTCCTGGAGATGGGAAGTACAGTGCCTGCACTCTGAAGGAGGGGAGCTAATGTGCACCTCTGGCAAAACAGTAATGGAGTGAATGATGAAAGTTTTTCTTTTTTGGGCCACCCTGCCTTGGTGGAAAGTGGCCTATGTGTTAATAAAATTTTTTTTTTAACATTTGCATATTTTTGTATTATATTTGCCTATTTACTATATTTATTCATATATTCTAGGGTTCATTGTGGCCATTGACCTTTGGTTTGGCCTGTTGTGCAGTAGAGATGATGCAGTGCGCAGCTTCCCGGTATGATATAGATCGGTTTGGAATTGTGTTTCGAGCCTCTCCCCGTCAGGCAGATGTTATAATTGTGGCAGGAACACTTACCAACAAGATGGCACCAGCCTTAAGAAAAGTCTATGATCAGGTTTGTTTTTTCACTTTTTTTTTTCATATTCTTAATTTGTTACCTCATTCCTTGAGGAGATAGCCACATGTGTTGCATCAGTCCTTGGTGAGAGCCACATGTGTTGCATCAGTCCTTGGTGAGAGCCACATGTGTTGCATCAGTCCTTGGTGAGAGCCACATGTGTTGCATTAGTCCTAGGTGAGACAGCCAAATGTGTTGTATCAGTCCTTGGTGAGAGCCAAATGTGTTGCATCAGTTCTTGGTGAGACAGCCACATGTGTTGTATCTGTCCTTGATTGAATTAACCAGTGTAGAATTTATAAAGGATTCTGCTTAATCTGCTTTCAAGGAAAAACCATTTAACATTTTTACTGATTTTTCTTTTACATTACTTAGGAATCAGTGTAATTTTATTCATATTCAACCCTTTCAGGGTTTCCGACGTACTAGTATGGATGACAAGAAACAGATGATTGCTGATGTTATGAATGAAAAGACGTTGGATGTCCTGGTCCTAAGCGAAACAAAGCTGAAGGGGGTAGGGGAGTTTCGGTGGGGGGGAAATGGGATTAAATCTGGAGTATCTGAGAGAGTTAGAGCTAGGGAAGGGGTAGCAGTAATGTTGAAGGATCAGTTATGGAAGGAGAAAAGAGAATATGAATGTGTAAACTCAAGGATTATGTGGATTAAAGTAAAGGTTGGATGCGAAAAGTGGGTCATAATAAGCGTGTATGCACCTGGAGAATAGAGGAATGTAGAGGAGAGAGAGATTTTGGGAGATGTTAAGTGAATGTATAGGAATCTTTGAACCAAGTGAGAGAATAATTGTGGTAGGGGACCTGACTATGCTGCTCAGTTCTATTCACCGTATTACAGAATGGATATAAATGCTCTGGAAAACGTACAGAGGAGGATGACAAAGATGATCCCATGTATCAAAAATCTTCCCAATGAGGATAGACTGAGGGCCCTGAATCTGCACTCTCTCGAAAGGCGTAGAATTAGGGGGGATATGATTGAGGTGTATAAATGGAAAACAGAAATAAATAAAGGGGATGTAAATAGCGTGCTGAAAATTTCCAGCCAAGATAGGACTCGCAGCAATGGTTTCAAGTTGGAAAAATTCAGATTCAGAAAGGATATAGGAAAGCACTGGTTTGGTAATAGAGTTGTGGATGAGTGGAACAAACTCCTGAGTACAGTTATTCAGGCTAAAATGTTGTGTAGTTTAAAAATAGGTTAGATAAATACATGAGTGGGTTTGGGTGGGTGTGAGTTGGACCTGACTAACTTGTGCAGTCTGGTGCAGTGCTCCATCCTTGAGTGGAGATGATCAGACTGGGTGGGTCATTGGTCTAATCTGGAGGGGGACATGGACCTGCTTCGCATGGGTCAGTAGGCCTGTTGCAGTGTTTCTTCTTTCTTATGTTCTTATGTTCTTAAAGTAGGAGAAACTTTTAGAGAGGGTGTGGTAGGTAAGTTTGGGGTGCCAGGTGTAAATGATAATGGGAGCCCTTTGATTGAACTTTGTATAGAAAGGGGTTTAGTTATAGGTAATACATATTTTAAGAAAAAGAGGATAAATAAGTATACAAGATACGATGTAGGGCGAATTGACAGTAGTTTGTTGGATTATGTATTGGTAGATAAAAGACTGTTGAATAGATATATCAGATCACTTTTTAGTTGTAGCTACACTGAGAGTAAAAGGTAGATGGGATACAAGGAGAATAGAAGCATCAGGGAAGAGAGAGGTGAAGGTTTATAAACTAAAAGAGGAGGCAGTTAGGGTAAGATACAAACAGCTATTGGAGGATAGATGGGCTAATGAGAGCATAAGCAATGGGGTCGAAGAGGTATGGGGTAGGTTTAAAAATGTAGTGTTAAAGTGTTCAGTAGAAGTTTGTGGTTACAGGAAAGTGGGTGCGGGAGGGAAAAGGAGCGATTGGTGGAATGATGATGTAAAGAGGAGAATGATGATGTAAGGGAGAAAAAGTTAGCATATGAGAAGTTTTTACAAAATAGAAGTGATGCAAGGAGGGAAGAGTATATGGAGAAAAAGAGAGATGTTAAGAGAGTGGTGAAGTAATGTAAAAAGAGAGCAAATGAGAGAGTGGGTGAGATGTTATCAACAAATTTTGTTGAAAATAAGAAAAAGTTTTGGAGTGAGATTAACAAGTTAAGGAAGCCTAGAGAACAAATGGATTTGTCAGTTAAAAATAGGAGAGGATAGTTATTAACCCATAAACGGTCCAAGCAGATCTACGTTCACATGTGTAATGCTCCAAAAGTAGATCTACTTTTTTTTTACATATTTTCAAATTTTTTTATTTTTTTTTTTATTATCACACCGGCCGATTCCCACCAAGGCAGGGTGGCCCGAAAAAGAAAAACTTTCACCATCATTCACTCCATCACTGTCTTGCCAGAAGGGTGCTTTACACTACAGTTTTTAAACTGCAACATTAACACCCCTCCTTCAGAGTGCAGGCACTGTACTTCCCATCTCCAGGACTCAAGTCCGGCCTGCCGGTTTCCCTGAATCCCTTCATAAATGTTACTTTGCTCACACTCCAACAGCACGTCAAGTATTAAAAACCATTTGTCTCCATTCACTCCTATCAAACACGCTCACGCATGCCTGCTGGAAGTCCAAGCCCCTCGCACACAAAACCTCCTTTACCCCCTCCCTCCAACCCTTCCTAGGCCGACCCCTACCCCGCCTTCCTTCCACTACAGACTGATACACTCTTGAAGTCATTCTGTTTCGCTCCATTCTCTCTACATGTCCGAACCACCTCAACAACCCTTCCTCAGCCCCCTGGACAACAGTTTTGGTAATCCCGCACCTCCTCCTAACTTCCAAACTACGAATTCTCTGCATTATATTCACACCACACATTGCCCTCAGACATGACATCTCCACTGCCTCCAGCCTTCTCCTCGCTGCAACATTCATCACCCACGCTTCACCCCCATATAAGAGCGTTGGTAAAACTATACTCTCATACATTCCCCTCTTTGCCTCCAAGGACAAAGTTCTTTGTCTCCACAGACTCCTAAGTGCACCACTCACTCTTTTTCCCTCATCAATTCTATGATTCACCTCATCTTTCATAGACCCATCCGCTGACACGTCACTCCCAAATATCTGAATACGTTCACCTCCTCATACTCTTCCTCCAATCTGATATTCAATCTTTCATCACCTAATCTTTTTGTTATCCTCATAACCTTACTCTTTCCTGTATTCACCTTTAATTTTCTTCTTTTGCACCCCCTACCAAATTCATCCACCAATCTCTGCAACTTCTCTTCAGAATCTCCAAGAGCACGGGTGTCTCCAGCAAAGAGGCAGCTGTGACAACTCCCACTTTGTGTGTGATTTTTTATTCTTTTAACTCCACGCCTCTTGCCAAGACCCTCGCATTTACTTCTCTTACAACCCCATCTATAAATATATTAAACAACCACGGTGAATCAAAACATCCTTGTCTAAGGCCTACTTTTACTGGGAAAAAATTCCCCTCTTTCCTACATACTCTAACTTGAGCCTCACTATCCTCGTAAAAACTCTTCACTGCTTTCAGTAACCTACCTCCTACACCATTACACTTGCAAATCTGCCACATTGCCCCCCTATCCCCCCTGTCATACGCCTTTTCCAAATCCTTTAAATGCCACAAAGACCTCTTTAGCCTTATCTAAATACTTTTCCCATTATATGTTTCACTGAAAAACACCTGGTCCACAACCCCTACCTTTCCTAAAGCTCCTTGTTCATCTGCTATCTATTCTCCGTCTTACTCTTAATTCTTTCAATTATAACTCTACCATACACTTTACCAGGTACACTCAACGACTTATCCCCCTAAAAATTTTTGCACTCTTTTTTTATCCCCTTTGCCTTTATACAAAGGAACTATGCATGCTCTTTTGCCAATCCTAGGTACCTTACCCTCTTCCATACATTTATTAAATAATTGCACCAACCACTCCAAAACTATATCCCCCTGCTTTTAACATTTCTATCTTTATCCCATCAATCCGGCTGCCTTACCCCCTTTCTTTTACCTACTGCCTCACGAACTTCCCCCCACTCACAACTGACTCTTCCTCACTCCTACAAGATGTTATTCCTCCTTGCCCTATACACGAAATCACAGTTTCCCCTATTTTTCATCAACATTTAAAAATTCCTCAAATATTCCTTCCTTTCTTCCCAATACCTCTAACTCTCCATTTATAACTCTCCTCTCCTATTTTAACTGACAAATCATTTGTTCTCTAGGCTTTCTTAACTTGTTAATCTCACTCCAAAACTTTTTTTTTATTTTCAACAAATTTGTGATAAACATCTCACCCACTCTCTCATTTGCTTCTTTTTTACATTGCTTCACCATCTCTTAACTTCTCTCTTTTTCTCCATATATCTTCCCTCCTTGCATCACTTCTACTTTGTAAAAACTTCTCATATGCTAACTTTTTCTCCCTTACTACTCTCTTTACATCATCATTCCACCAATCGCTCCTCTTCCCTCCTGCACCCACTTTCCTGTAACCACAAACTTCTGCTGAACACTCTAAAAACTACATTTTTAAACCTACCCCATACCTCTTCGACCCCATTGCCTATGCTTTTCATTAAACCCATCTATCCTCCAATAGCTGTTTTATATCTTACCCTAAAATGCCCCCTCTTTTAGTTTATTAACCTTTACCTCTCTCTTTTCCCCGATGCTTCTATTCTCCCTTTTATCCCATCTACCTTTTACCTCAGTGTAGCTACAACTAGAAAGTGATCTGATATATCTGTGGCCCCTCTATAAACATGTACATCCTGAAGTCTACTCAACAGTTTTATCTACCAATACATAATCCAACAAACTACTGTCATTTCGCCCCACATCATATGTGTATACTTTTTTATCCTCTTTTTCTTAAAATATGTATTACCTATAACTAAACCCCTTTCTATACAAAGTTCAATCAAAGGGCTCCCATTATCATTTACACCT